GCTGAAGGAGCACGGGATCGTGAAGAAGGACCGTGTCCATGTCCGATGCGTAGGCTCCGGTCACTGTGGTTGCTTGACAGGCTGAGCCGGTGTTGTTCATTTTCGACTCCTCGCTGGTGGCTGAGAACGGAGGCTACAGCCGCGTGCACAACGTGTACCAGCGACCGGCTGTATTCGAGCGTGGCCTCTACGAGAACTGCTTCCACGTCTTCGAAGCGGCCGCCAAGGACGAGGCCAGTCCTGCCTGAGAGAAGTTTGGTGAGGCTTGGTCTCGACTCTTTTCGTGGCAGGACAGGTGGATGACCTTTGATAGCGGCGTTTTGAAAGCTCAGACCACCGTGCTCAAGTCTTTCAAGAGTCGTGAGATGACGCCCCAGAGCATTATTTTGATCGGAAGCGAAGAAAGTGTGCAAGGGCGCAAAGACTACTTGCGGTCGGCGTGGCTTGGCCGCCTGTTCTTCTGTTTGACTGCCTCCTCTCTGTTGTCGTTGTTTGCTCATGCTTCCAAGGGACGAGAGGAATTGCAAACGGCGAAAGACGGGAGCCGCTGGAAGTCTGATCAGCATCGCTGGAGCCAGAGAGACAATGTTCTTCGGGTGCAAGAGTGAACCGGTGCCTGCCAAAGAACACCGATGGCTGGCGAGTGCGGGCGTGCTGAGCACTGCCTGTCCCGTGTGAGACTGAGATATCTGGGGTACAAGTTTCATTTTCGGAGTTGGGGATCGGGAATCGTTTCCCTGAGGTGCTGCCGAACATCCCGTTGCCTTTGCCTGACAACTTGATCCGGGTCACTGTGAAACAGAAGAAGGAGGTTGGGAAGTCGGACATGTGCGAGAGCATCTCCTGCATTTTCTTATCGGTGAGGTCATCCCATTGGTGTGTGCAAAGGGTGTGACGACTGACGGCGGCGGCCAGGTGCAGGGCTGAGCATAGTGGGACGGCTGAGGCAGCANNTAGTTTCGGCCCCAGCAGGTGGCACCGGCTGAGCACCTGGAGGATACCGACACAGTCCCTCTGGTGCACTTCGAGAGGAGCTGCTGAATTTGTCGTTGTCCCAAGTTTGAGTCCATGGTCTTGCCCGCTGATTCGGCAGGAGCCCGCAGGTTTACAGGATGATGCTGCACACAGTCTCGCCCATTGCCGCTGTGGTGAACTTTTCCCCGGGGTCGGGGTGCCTGAGTGTGATCTGCGCTGAGCAACGAATCCCGTGCTTGAACGTCGTGCGAACGGACGAGCAGCGTCGACTGGTCCTCGGTCTGATCAGGGAGGAAATCTCCAAGCGAGTCCGGAACGGGAACG